TTAATTTATAAAAATATATATTTATAGTGATAAATCCAAAATAGTACACGAAAAATTTCGATATCTGGTATGTACCGTTCCAGCAGCAAAAAAGATATGTATGCCTCTACGTTGTGGTTTGGGTTCATTAACTATGATTTATCTTGGGCTGCTTGTTGGTATAAACCCTAGAAAAGAAAGTTTTAGAAACCAGTGATTGATCGGTTTCATTCCAAACTTGCTGCCTGGAAAAGCGTTTACTGTCTTTTGGTTGACAAGTTACTTTACTCAATTCGGTATTCTTTGCATTACTAACTTTTTTCATATGGCTTTGTTTCAAATTCCAAAATGTGTTCTTGCAAAGATTGTTAGGATTCAAAGGAATTTCTTTTGGAGTGGGTTAGGTCAGGAGAGAAAATTAAATTGGCTAGGTTGGGAGTTTATGTTAGGCAAAAGATAAGGGTGGGTTAGTTGTGGCTAATGTAGGATTGAGGAATAGGGCTTCATTAGGTAAGTGGTGGAAAAAGTTAGGAGATGGGAAAGTGGGGTTGTGGAGGAGGGTAATTTGGGAGAAGAACTATGAGGGTAAGAGGGGGGTAGATATTACTGCTTTTGCATGTTTAAATTTGTCTCAGGTGTGGAGTGATGTTATTTTCATTGGGAAGGGATCTGCACATTTAGATTTGATGCTAATATAGGGGTTTAAATGAAATATAGTAAGTGGAGATTCTGTGAGGCTTTGGAAAGATAATGGGTGGATGATAAACCATTGAGTCATTTATTTCCTTGGCTGTTTGTTTTAGCTTGCTTAAAAGATGGGTTGAAGGATATGGGTTTTTAGGATGGGGATGTTTGGCAGTGGAAGATGCAGTGGAGGAGAGCTTGTATGGGTAAGGAAGTGGGTGAGGATGAGCAATTTTGGTCAGTACTTGGTAGGGCAAGGTTAATGAAAAGAAGGGATGGATATATGGAGGTAGGTGCATGATAGTAATAAAGGGTATACTATGAAGGCTGCATATAATTTTTTATCACTTATTGATGTTGTGCTTGAAAAGAAATGGTGTAAGTTGCTTTGGGGCAAATATATTCCTGTTAAAGTGTTTATTTTTGGGTGGAGATTGCTTTTGAATGGGCTAGCTACAAAGGAGATTCTTCTTAGGAGGAGGGTGGAATGCAAGGGGTGGATGAAGGTTGTGATTTATGTAGATTAATGGTGGAAGAATGTGATCACTTGTTTTGTGGATGTAGGGAAGTCTGGTTATTATGGATGCAGATGCTATTGTGGTGGGGTATGGAGGGTGTTTTTTCTAATACTATTTGGGGATTGGTGGAGTATTGGGTGATGGGTGTAGGTGGGCAGTTGTGTGGACAGGAGGTGGCTGAACTTATTATTTTAGTGGTAAATTAGTATATTTGATGCTGGAGAAATTCCAAGGTATTTGGGATTGAAATGTGTTCTAAGGAAAATATGTTGAGATCTATTCAAGCCAACACTTTTTTATGGATTAAAAGGAGATTGGATGTGCATTCACTTTTTGTAATTGGACTCAAAGGCCAATCGATTGTGTAAAGGAAATTGTCAAGTTCAAGAAAAATAAGAAGGTTTTTAATGTGCAGCAGAGTTGATGGTTTTTGTTGTAGGATGGAATCTTGTTTTAGGATGGAATCTTGTTTTGTTGTGTATTTTATTCAATTTATTATGCACAACGTGTAAAAGATTTATGTTGATTAGGAGTATTTCTTATACTCCAAAGTAATATATCTCATATTTTCTTTGTTGATAAAAAAAATAAAAAATAAAATAAAATTCTTCTTTTCTCTTGCCTTGCCTCGTCTGGAATCCATTTTCATCACTAGTCTTTTGAATCAAATGAAAAACAATTGTATTCTTAATTGATCAATTCTCCTTCATCATCAAGCAACAAAATCACAACCTAGAAAATAAGAAAATCTCTTTTTCCTTTTTTCTTTTTCCCCAAAAACCAAAACTTAGCAAGCGTTGATTTCCTTTATGAAAATTCTCCACATGGTTATTTTCTTGGAAAAATACAAGGATTTTCTCTAGAAAATTATATTTCAGGTTTGATGGTGAAGATTTGATAAGAGTACAGTGAAACGTTTTCCAAATATTTTAACCCTCTAGCAACACACATAGTTATTGGGCCTAGTAGCATATCAACATGTCAAGGCAACTATTTAAAAGAATACTATTGATTGTTAGGATTAAATTTGAGGATAATATTATTTAAATATCATAAATTGGAAAAAGGCTATCATTTGTTAATTAACTTGAAAAAGTATTATACATCTATGTAATCGCGGCGTTCATACAATATATATACATATATATATATATATATATATGAAAGTTGGTCAATTGGGCCTCCAAAAAATTAGTAGGAAAAAAGCTCTGAAATTACATCGTTTTAATAAACTTTTATTGAAAAAATAACCTATTTTTAAACTAGAATTGAGTTTGTTTTGGTTTTTTCCCATGGTATTTTGATAAAACAATCTAGTTTTGATGTATTTTTTTTCCTAATTTTTTACAGGTTTGGCTAACAAACACCAATATATATACATATATATATATGGGAAAGGTGTTTTATAGGTCATTCTCCCAAAATTTTTATGGAGGATATATTTAAAAACTCATTTTCTAATTAATATTTTGAAAAACCAACTATTGGATTTAAAGTTTATTCATAAAAATCATGCATGTCAACTTTTAAATTGTTCTAATTGGTCTAACCACTTCGCTAATTACACAAAATTTAATATTGTTAAATATATGTCAATAAATATAATTTATTTGATCAAAGTGTTATAAATATTATATTAATATAAAAATTGACATATATAATCTACATGAATAAAACTTTTAATCCAATAGTTTGTTTTTAAAAATATTAATTATAATGTGAGTTTTTAGACAAGTCCTCCAAATAAAAATTTAGGAGAACTACTTGCCTTACACTATTCTACACACACACAAATTGATCTTAGATTGTATAATGAGAGATAATTTTCTTCTATTCGTTAATCGATGCTATCCGCATAACATGCAACTCGAATTTAGTATCTTTTATTTTTACTAAAAAGAAATTACTAATAAATTACTTAAATTATTAGCTCATATTTTGCAATTAATTAATAATTTCATTATAACAAATTAACATTTTTAGTATTTGATATGCGTTGAAGCACTTGTAAGGACATGTCTAAACATCCCTTACCACGTTACCATAAATTTGTTTCATTAAATTGCACAAGGCCAACAAAGACTAAATGGAACCCTCCACCTCGAACTAATGATTGTTGCTATGGTACCCCGAACATTTCCCTAGTCTTAATTTTTTTTGTTTTTTTGGTGCAACTAGTCTTAATTTTATTATCAAGGGACTTAAGAGGAATAATTATGGGTTGGACGTAATTGGTTGACTTGGAGGATTTAATTGCTAGGGTTTTGAAACTTGAAGGAAGTTGTAAAATCGGTTGATTCTTGTATGTTGTATCATCTGTAAACAACCCTAGGCCAACCAATTTTCCAGAATGCCGCCCTGACTTCTCTGAAACCGTTGGATTCCATCTCTTCTCGACTCTTATTTCTCCATCAATAGGTAAAGGTTTTCTGATGATTTTTATTATTATTTTTTAGATTTCTTTCTCCTACCGAAAAAAAAAGATACACCATGATGGTAGCCATTTCGACCGTTTGTTCTTCCTCAGAATTTACTCGAATTCGAGCATGGTTGCCATTTCGACTGTTTGTTCTTCCATACTGTTCGTGCGTTATTTTTGCTGATATAAAACTGGTTGTGTGCTGTCTGATTTTGACAGCTTCTCCTGTTCTGTGAGATTTTGGACAGTTTAGGGACTTCGATCCTTGCTGTAAATTGGATGAGTTTCTTTCCAGCCCCTTTTAACCTGATCTAGGTGCTGATTCCTACAATAAAGCTTCACTAATTTGTTCTCCAAACCATGTTATGATGTGCGATTTTTGCTGCTGTTATACTCTGATATCTAACATGTTTTCTGCAGTATTTTGCTATTGTTTCCTGCACGTTTTATCTGTTGTCCGCGCTGCATTTCTGCCCTTTAACTTTATTCAGTTTCTGTTACAATATATGGTCTTTGTTCTAGCTGTATGCACCAGTTTTAGGCCACTGATTTGCACTAGAAATTCTGCACTATGTACTCGGTTTCTGCTTTGCTAATTCTGTGATGTTTGCCTCAGTCCCAGCTTGTTTTCCTCTTGAATAATTAAAAGTTTCTGTTGTTTAAAAGCTTACTCTGTTGCCCTGCTTTTAAGCTACAAAATCAGTATTGGTTCTTTCAATTTTGACTCAAAAACCATGCACCTAAAGAGCTTTTCCCGGCCCAAAATTTGTCTAATTAGTTTCTGTTTTCTGCTCTTTTTGCCCAGAATTTTGGTTGCTTTTAGGCTGCTGATAATCCCTAGAAAATCTGGTATGTTTGGGTGAGTTTATCCACTGTTTTGAGGACTACAATTTCCCTGATCAGCTGCTGTTTTTCAGCCCTATTTGCGCTGAATTTTGATCTCTTATGCTATTGTTTTATGCTTGAAAACTCTTTTGCAATGCTCTTGTTTTGGCAGCCTTTAACCCCTGTTATTGTACCTAGCTATTTACCTTAAATTTCCGGGAAAATTTTCTGAATCATCTCATCCTCTCTACTTCTTTAACCCACTTTCTCAGTTATGGTGGAAAAGAAGAACCTTTAAAATTTTTCCTGGATCTAAAGTTGTAATTTCTTTTACAGAGAAGACACTGCAAAAGAAGGGTATCCAATGGCCTATATCCAATGTGGCAGAAATGCCCTCCGGCAGATAATCAAAGACCCGAGAGTGCAGAGCTCTGATCCTATGATTCAACCTCTCCTGTATGCTTGTCAAGGAATCAGATACAGGAAGCTAGAAGTCATTCTTACTACGGTAAGTAGTAGTTTGGATCAATTTCTTTTCTTGGGTTAGTTGGGATTTATAAGCTGTTCTTTGATTATCCAATGATTTGGGTTTTGGGATTTTCATGTTTAGAACATTGAGAGGCTTGGCAAAGCTGGTGAGACTGTCAAGGTTGCCCCAGGGTATTTTCGTAACCATCTGATGCCAAAATTACTTGCTGTTCCTAATATTGAGAAGTTTGCTTATCTCATAAGGGAGCAAAGAAAGGTCCTTTTCTCCTCTGTAATTAAGTTATTTTGTTCTCATTTGTTAACTTTCTTTTCAATTTTATTAATTTGGTAAGAAGTTTGTTAAGAAATCAAATCTATGTATCTCTTTGATTTTGACATTAAGTTAACATTATTTAGCAAACATTGTGTGTATTGATCAGATTTACCAACCTGAAGAAGAGGAGGTTAAAGTAGTAACACAGAGTGTAGAAGATAAGACAAAAGAATATGAGAAGGCAGCAAGACGATTAGATAGTGCTCGGCTGGTTTGTATTTCTGGCTATTAAACTCTTAATTTGTGATTTGCTTGTTTTTTATTAGTAAAAGGCTAGTCTGTTTTTGAATTTTTTTATTTTTATTTTTTTTGTTTAAAATGTTATGCTTGGCATCTGCATGGTAGTTCTCATAAAAACGCTGGATGTATGTTGCATGTTTGCAGTAGTGCTCTTATAGAAGAACTGGATGTATGTTACATTTTGTTTAGATCATCTGAATTCTATTGGATTTTCTAGGTGTTGAGGAGATTCATTGATGTTGAAAAGTTTCGCTCTCGTGCAACAAAAGATGATCCAATAGAACTGCGCTCCCCTGTGACAAAAGAGGAACTTGTTGCTGAGGTATGGACCATGGTCGCTTCTTCACTGCTACAATTCTCTCTTTTTTTGCTTATAGTAAAATTCATAATAGTAGGATCTTCAATTGTATACACCCACCATGTGTTGTAATCCTGGAATAGATAAGCCATGATTGCTTTACACAGCTTCTAACTTCCTTGTAGGATTCATTGAGGCATTGCTTTAGATATCTTTAAAGTTGACCACCTGAATTTCTTGCATGTGAGAATATGCAGTCAGAAGCCTTTTAAGCAATAGCAGAGCTGCAGTAGTAGCACTGTTACTTTAAAGGATCGCTACTATTTAGATTATATATTCACCATTGAAGTCTTACGCATCAGCAGCTGTCTGTTGTCATCTTTTATTTTGTTTATCTCATATAACCCTTTATGTGTGTTAATATTAGGGTCAGTTTGGATGTTGTGTAGAGGTCAATATACAGTTGTAGAGAGGTCCTTGTATGCATGAGAAAGTAGTTACAACTTGTAAGAGCTTACTTCCAGGAGAGATTGTCATTATCTTTAGTTATCGTGAATCTATGATTCACAACCATATAACCTGCAGACTTCTACCTCTTTCCCTTGGTAATTTTTCATTTTGTATTTAACTCCAAGGTCTACACTGCATCAAAAAATTGGATATTCTGTTTTTTGGTGATTTTATCATACCACTATTTTTTCGCAGGGAACTTGGATAAATAATTTATGTTTCAATCTCTTTCTTCAGATGTGATTATGTATTTTATTGTTGTACTTATACTTCCATACACTGCAGGTGGCAAGACAGCTAAGTGTATGCATTGAGCTTGAAAATGTGCATTTGCCAACACCACTGTCGACTTTTGGAGAGTTTGAGGTGCCACTTCGCCTGCCAAAATCCATACCATTGCCAGAAGGGAAGGTTCAATGGGCTCTTAAAGTTAAAATCCGGGGTAAATAAACAGCAGTTGGACTTTAACGAGTTACTTTTAAATGAGGTGACGGTTTTGGTTTCTCAATGGCGATTTATTGTAGTGGTAATCTACATGCTTGGACATTAGAAAACATTTCATTAGACCATCCGTCACATTTTATATAGTGATCACTGAAATGTGTAATGTAATAAGTTTCTTGTTGAAATATATTTTTGCACGCGACTAGAATCAGGCTAAAGAAGTCCTGAATTTCCAATCATCTTGCAAAACTTGATTTACTTGCCGGCAACTCTGGCATTTACCAGAGGAGCTGAATGAAATGAAATGGATGTCGATGATTTTGAAATAGTTGCATTAGGCATTCAAATATCTTGGTAACGTGAATTTTCTTTGAAGCACAGCATAATAGCAAGCTTTCACTGAACTTTCCGACATGGGTGAGATACTGAGGACCATTGCCAATACGCTATCTGATTTTCCTGTGTGTCAATTTATGATATTTCCGTCCTTTCAAGTAGGAGGAGCCGATAACAAGCAAGCAAAATGCAAAGCAACCACAACGTAGATTTCCTTCCTCTTTTCTTTTTTTTTCGTATTTTGGATGGTGGGCCATATAAAAGAAGGGGTAGCCCTTCCCTCTCCAAACTCTTTTCTGTCCATTATAAAATTTAAATTTAAAATTTTTGACATAATAATTTAAATTTTGAATCACTGAAATGTGTCCTACGACACCCAATACTTAGATTCATGCTCAGAATTCACAGAATAACAGAAATTTAGAGTCATGAACCATTTATAACAATTGATGCAATTATACAAAGTTTACTTAGTAGAACAGCAGCGAAACTTATCGTGAACACACTCTGGCATTAAAGGTCAAAACATACCATAATATTGGCTCGAAAAATCGAAAATCAGGTGTTAGATAGCGTAGAGCTAGTTTCAGAGGGCTAGGTCTGCCTTCAACTGTTACGCCTTTTGGTTCTTTTTGGTTGGAGGTAGGATGCTGTTAGAATCAAGTTGTTAATACCATATTAGTATGTATATTGGTTTTGTTGGTTTTTTTTATTAATTTTTCGATATTTGATAACAATATTGGATTTAAATTAATTTAGAATCGAGTTGTGTTGAACCATATAAAGGAAAGTTCTCTTTATGTTTATTTCTCTATTCACAAAATTTGCACTTGAAATCTTACTTAAAGAAAACTAAGTTTCTTTCATTCTGATCAACAGGTCGTTGGTATTGGTTTTGTTGTTGGTATGGTATATATCATATATTAAATAATATTATATATTATTTTGAATTTATCATTATAAATATATATTTTCATAAATTAACTATAACCTTTTGCAATTATACTTATAAATATAAATATACATTATAATATTGATTATATAACACTAAAAAAAGAATAAATTACAATTAATTTGTTAGAATAAGTAGACTCAAGTCTACAAAATGTAACCTCACCTTCCATTTATCTTCTAGAAGACCAAAATCCCTCCAATACTGTAACTTTATAGTTTTTTCTTCTTCTAACCGTTAACAATCTAAAATACACTACTCTTGTCACTTAAAAATTTTTATTTTCCTTGCCAATGTTTTCATGAAGCTTTTTATTTGTTACTTAAGAGATTCTTGTAATTCATACTCTATACTATTAGGCTTCAAAGGGAATTTACATTTTTCAAATTCTCTTTTTATTTTCTTGTCTTATCTGGATATAATCAAGATTATATTTTAAATTGTATTTTGCATTTAAGCTTTTTTTCCCTTTCTTTTTATTTTTTTATTTGTATTATTTATATGCATCAGTTGGTACACTAAATTTTAGTTGGTATGGCCAATACAATCAATATTTGATCAATATGATTAATGTTTGACTCAATATGATATATAAAATATAATATACTGATTTTACTCACAAATTAATACATACTAATTGTACCAAGTGACAATATGATATTGAAAATATAATGTACTGATTTTACTCGCAAATTAATACATACTAATTGTATCAAGTGATACGGTATGAAATCAACAACCTTGATTACAGGTGCGACATGACTCTGCCTTTGGTACAAAGTTTGTGTTATCATGAGGCCATGTCTTCTCAAGACCAAGCATTCAGCTTGGTTTAAGAGTGTCGAGCTAGAGTTAAAGCTACCGTAATAGGTTATTTACTCTTTTAATATTTTAAAAATATATAAAATATATAATATATTTAATAATTATTTTAGTTAATATTTTATATATTTTTAAATTAATAAAAAAACATAAAAATTAAAAATTAAAATACTAAAAAGGCGCAAACGAATTTTTCATCAAGTGAATCATATGGGCTGCAAGGTGGATGAATAAAATTAAGAATAAGCCGAGTCTCCCTTCCATGTTTTTAGGCCCAAGTCTTGTTCCTGTTGCCCCACTTCGGCACTTCTTACTTATCCTTCAAATTACCATTTAATTACCCATAAATTTCAATTAATGGGATAATTATTTCTAAACTTTTTTATTTAAAATTATACAAAATAATTTTTTTCTATACTTTAACCCACTTAACCCACTTTTAATGGGATAATTATTCACCAAATCTGGCACTAATCACTCTGATAAGCTAACAACCAAGGTTCTACACAGCCTGGGCACCAAGTCTAGTAGCATGCAGCCCTCTTCACGGACTCGAGAGTCGTTCATCCTAGTGCCCAAACACGTGGCAACCATTAATTGGATATCAGCTTTAAGTGTATACAATGCCCGGAGACTTGGTTGCACTCGTAATAGTTGCGAGGTCATTGCATAAAAACACATATAATAAGAGGCGAACTATAGTTGTTACCACTGGTTATAACTCTTTTATGAAAGGGTTAATGCCAACTGTCGTTCCTTTACTATAAAAATAGTTCAATTTAAACCTTTTACCTTCAAGTTGCCTCATGTCATCCTTCTACTATGAATTAACTACACATCCTCCCTCAACTATTGGAAAATGTATTGATGTTGTCCCTCCATCCAAGTTCTGTCCAATTTTGGGTTAACAGACAGTTTACTGATCGTTAACATTAACTTGTCTAGACAACCAATCCCTTTTTTTTTTTTTTTCACACCTCGGCTTTATGGACCCCACCAGTGCCACATCAGATCCCCTTTAAAATATTTGTCGGCATTGTGCAAGCATCAAAATCCCCAAATTTTTTCTTTTCTTCTTTTTGATCTCATTTGCCCTTTTTTGAGAAACCCTAGAACAAATCCATCAACCCCATCAACAATCAACCAAAAACACCAAAATCTTTGTCGGCACTATGCAAGCTTCAACATTCCTTAATTTTTTCTTCTCTTCGAACTCATTTGCCCTTTTCTAAGAAACTCTAGAACAAATCCATCAACCCCATCAACAATCAACCAAAATCAACAAAAGTAGTAGGCATATTTGAGAAGGTTGGGTGTGGGCAATGTCCTGGAGAGATATTCAGGGTTTCAATTCTCCTTCAAACCCACAATCACGCTTAATTTCCCAACATGTTGGACTCTGCTTCTGTAATCTTCCACCAATAAGGAAAACTTCACTAACTCATTTCAATTATGGGCAGAGATTTTGGGGTTGCTCCAAATATCCTGTAAGTTAGATTTCATCTCTAATTAATGTTTCCTATTATGGCCAACTTGATTGACTCTGGTATGATTGTGGTGAGCATTTTATTTTTTTCAGAAAGATTATGCACAAACTGTTCAATGGTTTGAGCAACATCCAAAAGAAAGAAAATCGTGGTGTGATTTCTTTGTATGATATGATGATGACTTTGACCCTTAAGCTAAGGCATGGTTAACATGATGTTAGCAAAAGGAGCAAAAAATGTTAAAAAAAACATTGATGAATGAGGTTCTTGATGTGAAAAAAAAGAATCTGGATTTGCACATGGAACTTTTTGTGTTGAAGAATTCCTATTTTGAACTGGAAAAGAAGGTTGCTACTTTTGAGGGGAAGGTTATGAAAGTAAATTTTAGTTGCCTAAACCTTGGGAACTATGTGTGTCATAACTCAAAATTTTAAAATTAAAATTTTTATTTTTTTCATTAATATGTTTGGTTTTTACTTTCATTGTTAGGTTTGCAAGCAAAGGGAAATTTCGCGAAAAAGTGGGAGAAGGAGAAAGAAAGGACTCAATTGAAGAAATCAAAAGTTGGGGGATGAAATCCTTTAAGCTATAAATCTAGCCCACTTCTCAAACCCATCTCAAATGGCCCAACTCCATAAAAATCAGCCCAAACCCAACCAAAACCCACTAAAACACAAAACCCAAAACCCAAGCCCAAATACCAAACCCATTTAACCCAAACAAACCCAAAAAAAAAAAAAAAGGCCGGCGTGTGTGGGGAAGAAGAAGGTTCTGGAGAGCAAAGATTTAGCTCCTTTTTTTTTTATTTTTTTAAGATTTTGAGTTATGATAGTGTGGCATTATGTATTTGTATTATTGCTTATTGGTTTTTCTTGTTGTAAATATTTCTATCGATGTCTTCTGTTCTGTACATTCTTTGGAAATATTAATGTTGTTTTACTGTGGAAAAGGAAATGAAATGGCAAATCTTTTTTGGGATTTCATTCTTGTTTGATGTGCAATTACAATGTGTCTAAATTTGCAAATAAATAATTGGTAGAGATAAACTAATAACAAGGAGTAGGTTTTGCTTGCCTTTATTATGAAGGTCCTATCATTACATATATACATACATAATCAATCCAAAAATAACCTACCAAGTTCATGAAGGCCTTACCATTACATACATAATCAATCCAAATACAACTTGCCAAGTTCATGAAAGTCCTTCCATTACATACATACATAATCAATCCAATAATAACCTGCTTAGTTTTTTGCATCGATATATGCATTAAAGTCCTCAAAATTCCAAAAAATATGGTTTGGTTAAAGACTACTACTTGGATATGGTTTAGTTAAAGATTACTACTTGGATATGGTTTTAATAGTCAAAATGCACCCTAAATTAATTCACTGACAATTGTTCCCATCATCTCTAGGACCTATAGCTTGAATCAAAGTATCCCAATTTACTAATTCCAGTTCATCCAATCTAGCTTGCTTCAATGCCCTACAACTTGCACAACTTTGTGCCTACAACATGTATGGTCCAAAATGAAAAATCCTTTTCATATTGAGAAGCTTAAAGGGACTGAAATTGTGATATAATAAACTAATTTAATTACCTTTAATTGTTGATATGTAACAATTTGTCTTTGACTAGATTCTTATTGTTGCCTAAAGGACCCATTTGCATGTTGTACTTGGGGTTGAGAGTTCCTCATTGCCTCTTAGATTGAGACACTTTCAATATTGAATAACTCACCCAAATCTGAAGCAGGGGCTTGGATAGTGGATTCAATAGGAGTGTTTCCATGCACTTTTGGATAGTGGATTCATTGCCTCTTATGACTCTTTTTAACTTGTAACTTATTTTATCAATATTAATGTAAAAAAATGAAAACTGTTAAAAATGAAAATTGATGTTATGCTGAACATACTTTAATGGTAAAAAGCAAATGGAACTCCCCTTTTTAATTATGAAATTCACATCTTCTATAGTTTGGATAGCCTTTCCCTTGTCATGCACCTGCACTTGATGACCATGACTTTTTCTTTCATTTACTTGAATGTTAACTGTG